CCGCCTGGCAAGCATCACGATGTAAACAAAGTTTAATAACTCTTAGAAATCTTTACTTTGGGATAGTTGTTAAGACTCTCCTGAACAGTGTAATAGTTGAGTTTGTGCTGTTTCCTCGACTTCAGCTGTTTTCACTGTCTCTGACCGGCATTCCACAGCAGTTTGCACAGAGCCCATAGAAATACACGATACAGTGGTGCACGTCATAGCAACCTAGAACGTACTGTGACGTAGCTCATTAGAGACATTTGACACCAATGGCCACAAAATCCTCATATAGCATCAATAGGTTCAAAAAATAAATTTAAAAACCACTGGGAAAATGAAATCCACTCTGATAACCGAAACAATTCAGGACTGCGGAATATTCAAAAAATCACTTTGATTAAAAAAAATATATAAACCAATATTTTTTAGTAGATTTGGGTGATGTAATCACAATCTGAAAATAGAAACTGGTAGGCATACCAAACCAAAAACATTTCCAGAGGATATATTGTGTAAATTGTGCACATGGAACCATAGATTACCCATCAGTCCTCAATTACACATAGAACCATAGATTACCCATCATGCCTCATTTACACATAGAACCATATATTACCCATCAGGCCTCCTTTACACATAGAAATATAGATTACCCATCAGGCCTCATTTACACATAGAACCATAGATTACCCATCATGCCTCATTTACACATAGAACCAGATTACCCATCATGCCTCAATTACACATAAAACCATAGATTACCCATCAGGTCTCAATTACACATAGAACCATAGATTACCCATCGTGCCTCATTTACACATAGAACCAGATTACCCATCATGCCTCAATTACACATAAAACCATAGATTACCCATCAGGTCTCAATTACACATAGAACCATAGATTACCCATCGTGCCTCATTTACACATAGAACCAGATTACCCATCATGCCTCAATTACACATAAAACCATAGATTACCCATCAGGCCTCAATTACACATAGAACCATAGATTACCAATCAGGCCTCAATTACACATAGAACCAGATTACCCATCATGCCTCAATTACACATAAAACCATAGATTACCCATCAGGTCTCAATTACACATAGAACCATAGATTACCCATCGTGCCTCATTTACACATAGAACCAGATTACCCATCAGGCCTCAATTACACATAGAACCATAGATTACCAATCAGGCCTCATTTACACATAGAACCGATATATTACCCATCAGGCTTTCATTTACACATAGAACCATAGATTACCCATCAGTCCTCAATTACATATAGAACCATAGATTACCCATCAGGCCCCAATTACACATAGAACCATAGACTACCAATCAGGCCTCAATTACACATAGAACCATAGATTACCCATCAGGCCTCATTTACACATAGAACTATAGATTACCCACCAGGCCTCCTTTACACATAGAACTATAGATTACCCATCAGGCCTCATTTACACATGGAACCATAGATTACCCATCAGGCCTCATTTACACTTGGAACCATAGATTACCCATCATGCCTCATTGACACATAATCTATAGATTACCCATCGTGCCTCATTTACACATTGAACTATGAATCTAAATGCAATGATCAGCTCGCTATGCTGGTTGTATTTTACGAATGTTGCATACCGGTATGTCCAATGTCGTTAATAGCAACTCATAATGTAGAATTGCTAATTAGTAACACATTGATTCTGTTACAGGAAAACTATGAAGAGGCCATATCAGACTGTTCTAAAGGTATATATGTTTATTTTTTTAAATGTTGTAACCAGTTGATAGTTGCATTGAATGTTATCGTTTTTGTTTTGATGTTTTTTTTGTGTAAGTTGCATGTGATATGAGCAAAGCATCATTCAAGTGCTGTTTGCCATAGGAAGCTATATTCTTAGGACTCTATAAGTGACAATTTAATGGTCTATCTCCACCAGCAATTTATAATATTGTCTAACATTGTTTTTGTAAAGGAATGATTCAGTGAAAATAAAATCCAGCGAATGTAACTTTTTTCCTATATTTTACATTCAAATCACCCAAAAAATAATTTCAGCAAAAATTAATTCCAGCTGAAAATAAAGTTCTTTACAAAATCAACTTTATCGTTCAACATTGTCGTTATTTTTTCGTTTTTTTCAGCTATTGAACTGCACAGTACATATGTGAAAGCGTTACTAAGAAGAGCACAAACGTATGAGAAATTAGAGAAGTTAGACGAAGCATTAGAAGACTACCAAAAAGTGTTACACCTAGACAACTCATCATGGGAAGCAAGACGAGCATGTATGGTAAGTTAATGGGGGGAAAAAGCACTATGCAGACAGCCAACTGTAAACCCCTTTAACCTTTTCATCACCAGTTCCCTTTTTGGCACAAACTCACAAAATAGTGTTGTTTATAGTCTGCACTTTCCTTCAGAAGATTTGGAC